TGCCCTTTCCACACCGCCTTATACAACCCTGCGGGCCATCGGGAGCCCGGCTACCGTTCTGGAAAACTCGAGACGGAGCCGCATCTGACTGCAGCCTGCGCCCAGAGAGCAGGGGGAGCACCTGCAGCCGGGCGCTGTCACCACGGGAGATACTTCTGAGCCCTGGGCTGTCAGGACAGCCGGCCCCGGGGAGCGGGAAACGGCGGCCCCCACGGGAGAGCCCTGAGGGTCGGCTCCACCGGGTGAGTCCTGTGCCTGGTTCCTGCTCTGGGCTTGGGGGAAGCGAGGCCTTGGTGGCCACGAGAGCTGAGTGCACCCGGTGCAGGACGGGAGCGTGAATGGGTTCAGCAGTGAGGCTCTTGGGGAGCCCACGGTGACACAAACTCTGGGGCTTATCAGCAGCTTAAAGAAAATGCATCAACGTCAACTTCACGTTTCTGTTTTTCCTATTCTCTGTGGCCACGAGGAAGCCTGCCCCTATGGCTCGGTTCTGCCCACGGACAGAGTGACCTAGAGGTGCCAGCTGCCCCTCCAGCTCTGCCCGCAGCTGCCAGGCCCAGGCGGTCTCCCTGGGCTGAGTCTGTCGCCAGTGAAACAAAGACAAGGACTTTGAGGTTTGTGAGGTGGAGACAGGATGAGCAGACATCGCCAGTCAGAGCGTGGAAGACAAGATGGTGTGCCGAGGGCCACAGGTGTGCGACGGAGTGGGGGACCCCTACCCCCAGACATGGGCAGCCCACAGCCGCCTGGCTCGTGGGTAAGACCTCCTTGTGGGTGTGGCCTTGTGGTGCATCTGTGGCAGGAAGAGGAGGAATCTGAACTAGGAAACGCCATGAGTTAACAGGAGACTGACTTCTGCAGGACTGTGAGGGTGCAAGGCTCACGACACGCGCGGGTGCTCGTGTGGTGCCCAGACTGGGGTGAGGTCAACGCCGCCGGCGGCTCCCGCTCCCTGGTGCTGCTGGGGTCCGTCAAGTCAGGGGGACATCGTGGGTGAACCGTGCCCTCCCCAATCCACCGAGACGCCCCAGCCCTCAGGACGCCAGAACGTCACTGCCTTGGCAGACAGCGCCTCAAGGGGGTCACGGAGCTAAAACACCGTCGTCAGGGGACCGGTGCCCTGAGAAGAGGGCCAGAGGGCAGTGAGGGGTCCCCTGCCGAGGGGAGAGGCACGGGGGAAACCGGCCCTGACGGCACCTTCACCTCCAGGATGTGGGAGCTGTCGGAGCCGCCCACGCTGCCACCGTGTGCGACGCCAGCCCCGGAAGCCGACACAACACACAACGTCTGCAAAGAACGTGGCTGGCAGCACTCACGCCGGCGCTCCTACCACTCGGGGCGCCTCTGGCACCCCGCTCAGTCATCAGCTGCAGCTTAGCTACTTCTAGAAAATTCCAAAGAAAAGGCCCACAGCTGCAAAGGCTGGTGACACTCAGAGACGCGCAGAGGGAGCTACAGGCACACAGACCCTGATCTGCGTGCCTGTGGGTTCCCCCCGGGGCCGCCGCCCTGGCCACGCCCTCCAGCAGGTGGTGAGCCGCATCAGGCAGGCTGTGCAACGCAGGGGGTCTGCTCTTTCCTGCAGGGCGGGTGGGTCTCCCTGGGGGTCTCTCCAGGCCAGCCCGGGTCATTTTTGCCCCAGACTGCCCAATGGTAGAAATGGCAACCGAATCCTAAGCAGGCAGATGGGTACAATGCCGGCCTCAGTGAGATGGGGCTGTTCAGAGGCCAGGATCCACGGTGACTCAGACAGCAAGAGTCAAGGGCAAGGCGGAGTTTCTGAACGGGAGGATGGCTCTGACACTGCTCTGCCCGAAGCAGCTCTGTTGCCCTCTGCACAGGACGGGCAGACGCACGTGATGCCCGTCCTGTCCTTTCCCCCATCCCCCAGCAGCCTGTCCTCGCGGCCTGGGCGGTGCCCACACCTCGGGACTGACAGTGCGACAGCGGGGACACTGCCCTTCCTTGCAGCGCCCAGAGAAACGCCCAGGAGCCGCTGAACCACTTGCTCTCCCTCCTCCTGGCTGTCTGCTGTCTTCTCCAGCTTGAGGGAGAAACCAGCAACAAAATGTCCAGGCACTGGGGCCCGGGAGACTGGACTGGGGATCCTGGGGAGAGGGCAGAGTCTAAGCACCTCCCTCCCGGCAGCCAGCGAGCCCAGGGCGTGTTCATGTGGGAAAGTGAGTACGCAGGGCCGATTTGCTGCAGCTGGCACGCCCGTGAGAGGCAGCTGCAGACGGACGGGGCGGTCAAGCCTCAGCTCCTGGGCACCTGGGCCATAAGGAAGGGGTGTTCCGTCACGTCAGAGCCCACGCACCCCAGGAGCAACACTCCAAGGTGGTCCGGGCTGGCCGCAGAGGAGGCGGCAGGGGGCCACGTGGGCCTCCACCTCCGGGCTGCACAGAGGTGACTCGGGAGGGAAGAAGAGAGGGGCCCCGGGCCAGCCGACAGCAGCCAGACCACAGACCCTGTTAAGAGGTCAGTGACGTGCACAGCTACACAAGGCCTTCTCTGGACTCTCTCGGGGTGAAAGCACAGAACAAGGCCGGCCGGCGTCAGGCACAGACAGACTGAGCAGTAAACCACAGGGTTCCCCCCGGTTCACCGACGGCAGCTGCATGGGGCTGGCACCTTGAGGGGCACCCAGTACTTCCCAGAGAGAGAGAGCTTTCCCTGCAAACCGCCCGCAGCAGCCAGCGACTTCCCACTCCTACTGTGTGGACTCTACAGTCCCCTGTGTAGCCAACAGCAGGCTGTGGGCCGCAGGGGTTCCGGCTGTGGGCGCTGCCGGTCAGCAGGGCCGCGGCCGAGCGCTTTCCCACTTTGAGCAGAGACGCCGAGTCCAGAGCACGCTCCGTACGGTGACTAAGTGCATTTACGGTTCCTGGTTATCGCTAATGGTAACAACGAGATAATCAGCAAGACAGCTTAAGGCTAATTAGCAGCAGTTACTCAGATGAGTGAAATTTACATATTTATAAAACGGGTCCTGACTCATTAGGCAAGAAACGAGCTGATGCTGCTCGTGACGTTAATTAAGATAAAATACGAACAAGAACAGGATGCCACCGCTGATTTGCCCTGCACGGACGATCTGGAAGCACACCGTGGAAAATTACCCACTTGGCTGAGGCAGGAATGGAGTCCACGTGGGGATCAGGCAAGGCCCCACGGCTGCACGGTTCGTTATCATCAACTAGAGGGCGACTCCAGGCCACCACCAACCCCCCGGACATCGCCGAGGCCCCCTCTGCGTGGATGCAGTCCCCGCCTGGCTGTCTCGCTGCCTGCCGCTCTGCAGTCTGTCTTGAGTTGCCGCACGCCTGCTGCTCTGTGTGGTGGTAGAATTCTCAAGGAGGCCAATGCTTCAGAACCCTCCCCTCTGCGGGTTAGGGTGGACTCTAGGTTTGGCACAGTGTCGGGTGCATTTCCTCAAAACCGGACATGGCTCCAGCAGCTGCCACAGGTGGACAGACAGCGAGGCAGGGAGGGCCCGGGCTGTCTGTGGCCCCGGCCAGCAGTGCCTGTCCTGAGTGTCTCTCCAGGACCCTCAGAGACACCGCCCAGAGGTCAGAATCAGAGGGAGCTGCGCCTGGGAGCGGGGGGCGGGGGGGATGACGAAGCTGCCAACATTACAGAGACAGCCATTCTGACTTCCGAATGTTCTGATAAAGGTTAGGAAAGGGAGGTGGGGAGACGGCACTGTCAGTAACAGCAGGCTCCTAGCAGGGCTGCACTAGTCCCTGCGCTGAGGGCTGCCCTAGAAGCTTCCAGGGCTAGGAGGGCAACAGCGTCGCGGCTGATATGAAAACCCGGCGGGCAAGTACAGTTTGCACTGCAGAGAAGAACCCGGAGCCTTGGCTCCCAAACCTGCAGAGCTCGGAAAAACACCCGAGCCGGCACCGGGGCTCCTGGGGGCGGTCTGGGCTGAGCACCCCGAGCCACACCGGGGCTCCTGGGGGCGGTCTGGGCTGAGCACCCTGAGCCGGCACCGGGGCTCCTGGGGGCGGTCTGGGCTGAGCGCCCCGAGCCACACCGGGGCTCCTGGGGGCAGTCTGGGCTGAGTGCCCCGAGCCACACCGGGGGCTCCTGGGGGCAGTCTTTGCTGAGCGCCCCGAGCCACACCGGGGGCTCCTGGGGGCAGTCTGGGCTGAGCGCCCTGAGCCACACCGGGGCTCCTGGGGGCAGTCTGGGCTGAGCGCCCCGAGCCACACCGGGGCTCCTGGGGGCGGTCTGGGCTGAGCACCCCAGCCACACCAGGGCTCCTGGGGACGGTCTGGGCTGAGCGCCCTGAGCCACACAGGGGCTCCTGGGGGCGGTCTGGGCTGAGCGCCCCAGCCAGCACCGGGCTCCTGGGGGCAGTCTGGGCTGAGCGCCCCAGCCAGCACCGGGCTCCTGGGGGCAGTCTGGGCTGAGCCCTCCAAAGAAGGGAAAGTGGAGGAAGGTGGCGAGGTGGCTGGAGAGTGGCCCGGGGGCGGCTGCTCAGGGCAGGGGCCTGGAGAAACAGCTTGGCCACACCTGCCCTGCAGCCAGACACCTGGATGACCGGCAGGTCCAGGGTGGAAGCTGGAGCCCAGCCCCAGGTGGGTGGGAAGCCGGAGTGGCCAATTAGAGGGAGTGACATTTGCCAATCAGCCTGTTTAAACCAGGCGAGGCTGACACAGTGAAAGTGCTTTTGCCTGGTGCCAGGGGTTTTATCGTCTTTGCCTTCCGTGAGAACGCGCACGTGGCATGGACACACAGCGAGGGGCCTCCTCCCCTTCCTCTCCTGCCCCCACCCCCGGCCTTTTCTCCTTTCTCCCTCCCCCCACCACCCCCCGCTAGTCCTTCCTTCCAAACACCTGTGCGCGGAATGCTCTCTTCACAAACACATCAGTTACCTGGTTCACAGTCACAGGGCCCCGCCTGCATCCCGCCACGCGGCAGCAGCACACGTGCGTGCGTGGGGAGGAGGGGTGCGTGGGTGCGTGCATGTGTGCGTGAGCTCGGCTCACTCTTACCTTATTGGCCTTCTCCACAGTCAGCTCCCGCTTCCCCGCGTGGTTCCCCATCCCGAACCCGGGGGCTCTTCAGAGGCTGAAAGAGAAAGCGCGGTGTCAGCCCAAAGCCGGTTTGTGCAGAGTCTACACGCGTCCGTGAGACGCGGCAGGCCCACATCTGAGAAGACCGAAGCCCTGACACTTGAGACAGATCCCAGGTGGCCCGAGGAGCGCACGCCACGGTCTGGGGCCTCTGCCAACAAGCAGTGCCGGCGCCCGTGTTCCCTGTCCGGCCATTAACACGCTCCTGCCCGCTCCTGCGTCTGCGGCAGAGGCCAGCCCCTCTCAGGAGCCCCCAGGTGCTGTGCGCACACGGGAGGGCACTGGGAGCTCACGGAAAGTGGGTCAGCCTGTGTTTGCTCTTGCTTCACCACATCGTCCCGGACGCTGGACACGCCTGCATGGGCACGGATTTCCAGAATCTCTCTGCAGCAAAGTAAACTTTCCTTTAACTCACTTCCCGCGAATCTTTTGCATCTCCCTTTCGGGGGAGGGGGTAGTGGCTGCTGGGGAGGCGCTGAGCACTTCTGTAAGGTAAGGAGCGGCTGTTCCTGCTCCGTGAGCTCAGGAATGGCGGGAAGCAGAGCAAGGACTGCCTCTCATGGGCGTGCCCGGGACCTGCAGGACCCGCGTAGACACGCAGTCGGGGGCAGGCAGAGCAAGACTGCACACGGGACAGGCGCCCGGACACTTGCAGGACCCGCGTAGACACGCAGTCGGATACAGAGCAAGACTGCACACGGGACAGGCACACGGGACCCTGCAGGATCCGCACAGACACGCAGTCGGATACAAACAGAGCAAGACTGCACACGGGAACCTGCAGGATCTGCACAGACACGCAGTCGGATACAGAGCAAGACTGCACACGGGACAGGCGCCCGGACACCTGCAGGACCCGCACAGACACGCAGTCGGATACAGAGCAAGACTGCACACGGGACAGGCACATGGGGACCTGCAGGATCCGCACAGACACGCAGTCGGGGGCAGGCAGAGCAAGACTGCACACGGGACAGGCGCCCGGACACCTGCAGGATCCGCGCAGACACGCAGTCGGGGCAGGCAGAGCAAATGCCCTCGTTTATTTCCTAACTCAAACCTCTGCAGCTGATACACGATTTCCCCCAAACACACAGAAATAAGAACTAGCCAAACCCACCGCAAACTGCCCGCCCGCCCTTCCCGCCCGAGGCCTCCCCCGGCGGGGACATCTGTGTGTCAGGCCCGGGTCACACTCAGTCCCAGCACAGGCTTCCCCGGGCTGTGCCTGTGGAGCTGGGAGCCCAGGAACCGCCCTCCTCCTGGGAGGCGGGGCACAGGGGATTTCCAGGACAGCAGGCGTGCCTGAGTGTACGGCACTTCTGTCCTTCGGTCTCCCTTTGCAAAGGAGAGAACGGCCGGCCTTGTCCACCTCCCCTGTTCCCGGCACCTTCTGGGAACAAGCTGAGGGTCTGGCCGAGGATGCCCTCTTCGACTGGGGACTCCCAGCCTGTGAGGATCCATGCAGAGAGAGGCAGTGAGGCCGCAGGTGTAGACCAGGATCCTGTGCACTGGGGCACTGAGCCCAGGCGTCACCAGCCTACACTCAGGGCCTCCAGGAGGCCAGGAGGGGCAGCCACGGTCCCAGTCAGGACCAAGTTCCCTCTTGTTTAGACCTCACAAAAACAGAAACACAGTGACCCGACGTGAGCCCATCATGTCCCTGCTTTCCTGTCTCTGTGTCCTCGCCTTACAGGGAAAGTAACCCTGAAACGGCCGACCCGCCTGTTCCCTGCTTACGCCCTCTGGAGTTCATGTAGGAGACCAGAGCCAGCCTCCTGCCCTCTGCCTCTGGGACAGCTCGCAGGGCTGGGCGTGCTCGGTGGAGCAGAGAGCCGCTCACGACCACCGCGACATCAGGCGGCTCTCTGGCCTCTGAGGACGTGGGAACGCAGTAAAGCACTGTTGGGTTACGCGTGTCTCAAAACGCAAGGCTAGCTCTGCAAACCATCAACCCGGCCATCAATATCCCCAATTCACGTGGACAGGACAACCAAAACATCCCGTTAGGAACCTCCCTGGAAGTGCCGTTTGGGGCAGGCACAGGTCTTTGCTCCAGGAGAACGGGTGAAAGGGAGGAGGAGGACTGATTTTTGCCCCCTTGGGCCCCCACACAAGCGGGTGCTCCTGTGAGATGCTGAGCTGAGTGCAGGGCACACGGGGCTGCCCTAGCTAGAGGTCGACAACTTGCAATATGCATGTAATACATGAGAATGACAACACACGGAACACATGAGCGCGCGCTAACAAAAATGAATGACAAGGGCTGGCACTGTGGCGCAGCGGGCCAAGCTGCCGCCTGTGACCAAGCATCCCATCTGGGCTCCCGTTTTAGTCCCGTCTGCTCCACTTCCGATCCAGCTGCCTGCGGATGGCCTGGGCAAAGCCCAAATGTAGGAGACCTGGATGAAGCTCCTGGCTCCAGGTTTTGGCCTGGCCTGGTGCTGACTGTTTTGGCCATCTGGGGAGTGACCCAGTGAATAGAAGCTCTCTCTCTTTCGAATAAATAAATATTTACAAAAAAAAAAAAAAAACCTGAAGACAGGCACAGATGGTTCTTTGGTCGCAGCCGACCACCCCGGCCTCAGAGGCACCTGCCATGGGCACGGAGCAGCCTGGTGCCTGGCCGCTGGGTGCCATCTCGGGCTCTGCTTCCCGCACCCTGCGTCCCCCTCCCCAGGTGGGTACACGCTCCCTCCTTCTAGAAAACAAGTGCCTGAGGGTGCGTCCGGAAAGGGAGCAGTGCGGGGGCGGTGGGGGTGGGGGTCAGGGGAGAGCTGCTCCCGGGGAGGCAGTGGGGGCGTCCCCGGGTGAGCTCGTTCTGATCTGACCTTCATGGTGCTCCCCAGCTAGGCTCCAGCGCACAGTGGGAGCCTCGCTGAAAGGTAACCAAGGCACAGAAAACCCAACACCACTGGACAGGGTGGGCTGACACGGCCAAAGCGCAGGTCAGACTTCTGAACACACCTCCGTTTGGTTACTGAGACCCACCGGCTCTGAGTTGAGGGTCCAGGAGAAACAAAGTGCATTTGTGTTTATTACCGGGGTTGCTAAATGCTAGCCTGGGGTGCAGCTTACATGCCTGCAGCGAAAGACAGACAAGAGGAACGCAGCTGGCAGATGACAGAGTCAGGGCCTCCAACGGTGGGAAACGTCTGGGGGATGCCAGCACCTGCGGTGCTGCACGCGCCGTGGGAGGCACGGGAGGGGATGCAGGCCCCTCGTTCTCTGGGCTGCAACCACGAGCGACCGCAGCCTGCTTGGCTGGGCGCTAACACTCGCCCGTCTGGGGCGGAGACGGAGCCGAGTCACAGAGGGCCCAGGAGCCCGGCAACACAGCACTGCAGAGACAGGGGCTGTGCGTTCCAAGGGCGTCTTTATTTCATTCCATTTCTGCAATTAATCAAACTGAGATAGCGAGGGAAAAATCTGGTAACCATGTGGGATGTTGTCGGGAAGCCAGGCTGCTCCGCAGGCTGACCTGAGTAATGGAAGAGCTTCCGGCAGAAGACGAGGGGCGGGGAGGGGAGGGCAGGGAGGGCAGGGGGGCAGAGGGCGGGCTCCAGCTCCCGCAGGACCGTCACCCGCTTCGGCGCCGGCGTGAAGCCTGGCTCAGAATTCCAGCCAGCAGATAACTGGTAATTTTCAGAGTGTTCAGATGTTATCAACACTTCGTGCTAGCTCAGGGCTGAAGCCAGTGACAGGCGGCGCAAGTCAGGAACGCAGAACTGCTGGCATGCAACTCCACCTTCCCTGTTTGGCGTTCATTCTCACGACGTGCTCCTGAGGCCGTGTGGACTGCTCAGTATTACGAGGGAGCAGTCAGCTGGGACGCCCACCGCCCAGGACGGAGCAATGCCAAGGGCGGCCTAGAGAGCCCGCAGGCCAGGGTGGCTGGGGGGCACCTGCCTCGCTGAGCCAGGGGAGGGCGGACCCCCACTCCCACACAGAGGCCCCTTCCCGCTCCAGCCCGTGCCGGGTCCTGTGGCCCACTCACTCCTAACAACAGCGAGCAGGGCCCGCTGCCTGTGTGAGGCCCCCTCGGCTCTGGCGTCAGACAGGAGGGACCTGACGCTTCCATGACAGACAGGCCTGCGCCTTCTGTGCCCGCCTCCTCTGGTTGTTCCTCCTTATCTCCACACGCTTGTTGCGAGCCTCACTTCCTGGAGGGGTGTGGACGCTGGTTAATATTTTACAGGGACCTGGGGCTACACACAGGTGGCCGTGGCTCTGCCTGGTGTGACCAGCCCACATGTCCCTCCGTGGCTGGCGGCGTGACACAGGGAGCTGGCACGGGGCATCAGAGGCGCCGCGAACACTTTGAGCATTGCTCACAGCAGGGCTGTGCTCACAGGCAGAGCAGCTGCCGGACTCAGCGTGTTTCCGATCCCCTCGAGTGACTCACACATTCCTGGGACGTCAGGTGTGCCGGCTGCTGACAACTAGTGTGGAGGGGGAAGAACGTTCCGGCCCCTGGGGCCCACAGTCTGCCCAGTCTGCGCGCCCTGGGCGCCATCTTTCCGAAACCACAGAGCGCGACTGAGTCCTCCAGTGGTTGACGGAGAATCTCCTGATTCTAATCAGGGAAGAGAATCCACGTGGGGCCACCGAGCCCACCAGGGTCTCCAGGGACACCTGGCTCAGGGCCCATCTCCTAACCAGTGCCACGTCTACACACAGGCATGCACCATTTTAATGGATGACTTCCTTCCAGAACCTCCTGGAACTTTCCAGAACCTGCAGATTTTAATCAGGGAAAGAATGCAATGCCTGGTGATCACCCTCACCGCGATCCTGCAGAGGGCGGGTTCAGAGCTGCTCTCGTCAGGGTGGCCTCACGGGCAGGCGTAAGGCACAACACAACCAGCGGGCACTAGCAAGTGACCACCGTGTTGCTAGGGAGGGGAGGGGACCCCTTGCAGACAGCAAGACGCAGCACGAGGGGTCTGGGCTGGGCTGGGCGCCGCGGCAGCACCATCTATCTGTGCCCTTGCT